TAATAAAATACATTGCATATAGAAAAGGAAAATTTCATATATGAAATTTACATCTAGTGTAGTAATTTGCAAACTATAAATAATGGTTATTTTTACCTGACTGCAGCGAAGCCCAAAAGAGGGTTATGTGTTTGATCTCTATATATAATAATAATAAATAAATATGTCAGAACATTAACAACGCCATCTAGTTCCATGGTAAGCTACGAACGAGGCTTGTGCTATGGATAACAGATAGTTGATACATTATACATATATAACTTTAAATACATACATATTATAATTATAAGCACCCATGACTGGAGCACAAACATTCGTGCTCATCACACAAACGAATGCCCCCAGCGGGACTCGAACCCGCGACCGCTAGCGCAGCAAGTAGGGTCACTACAAACAGAGCCAAACATGTCGTCGAATATATGAATTAATACGTATGTAAGATCCTATATTCCCTTGTAATTACTGATTTGCGTAACCGAATTTGAAAACTCATACGCCGTTAGATTTGTTTTGACAACTCGAGTATTATTTGCTTATATATGTAGATACATATTAATAAAAACTAAAATGGAGAATCTCAGGCGCCAATTTGTTTGTCTTAAATTTTTTTCCTTCAAGCGAAATCTATCGAGTGGGGTATCAAAATGAAGATTAGCAATATATATAGAAGAAGAAAAGCAAACAAATGATATATACACATAAAAAAATCTATTATACCCGTGTAGAAAGTGCTTATAAAACATGTACATATATATCCGACTGCATAATACTATGTTGCTTCGTCAACTTGTTCGCATCTTTTTAGTTAGTTTTTTTACGTAGTTGGTTTTATTTTTTTATTTTGATAATATATTTTTTTACGTTAAAACCTACTTAACATAACAACAGTGTAAAACGTTTTCATCTCGTCTATAAATCATGATGAGAAAAACATGGCTATAATCCAGAATTCGCTCTACAAATATATGTATAAATAATAGATATAATAAAGTCAATAAAAGTAAATTTTATATACCTATCTATACTATACTTTATATACGCAAAGTAGTAGTAAGTGGTAGTGACAGTGATGAAGGTTAGAGTTTGATTCACGTACGATGGTTACGTCATGTACAGTTCACGCAAAAGTTTTGCGGCTGTGAAGTTAGCTGCAAGTCAATGCGTACAATTTAATTATTAGGATTAGCGAATGTGTTAATAACATCAGTATAGAAAGTATTAGTTAATTTAGTAGTATATAAATATAACGTAATAAAAAAATTGCGCCTGACATTAGTTTACATTATAATAAATCATAGTTTTTTTCTAAGAAGGACAACGCGGCCGAAAGTAATTTTTCCGGTAAGAATGAGCAATTTTCCTGCAGTATAAGGTATCCTAAATATTGACCCAAGTAAAAGGCTATATTCTATCTTTACACAACATTTGTTAAAAATCTTATATTCTAAATGAAATCTAAAACCGAGTTTCAAGTAATTCTGATCATAAATAATTCTTATTTCTTTGCTCATATAAACTTTATTACCCCCTTTTACCCCTTTAAAAAAACAAATAAATATATTTCATATTTTTTATTTAAGATATATATTTATTTCATTTTTTCCACATTAAGAATGATAAAAGTTTCATACAATCTTTAATCCCTTATTTCACCCACTTTAGGAACGAATTTCGAAAAATAATTTCTTATCCCATGCCTACATCATATAACAAATACGTCCTTCAAGGTTCACGTTTCTACGACCAGCGGTTAGGCTCCATTAGTCAGTCAGGATCACCGCAGGATGCACCTCTCCTTTTCAATTCTTCCTTCAGCTGGTCTATCTTTCAGGCACAATACATTGTACAAGTAAGATGCGAACACTGTAGAAGCAAAAAACCAGGTATAAAAGAGATATCACAATAAATAGCTTAACCACAGAATGAATGTAAATAGCCCGTACGTGTGGCGCCCCCTTCTTTCGAGAAATATTCCCCATTTCTAACACAACAAAAAAAGAATAAGCCAAATAAGTGCAGCCGTTCTGAAGTATTCAGCTTACATACATTATAGATATATATGTATAGACCCGCGTTCAGATGACCAAAAACCAAATTCTTATGTTTTACATGTCTATTCTTATGTTTTACATATCATATAGAGGAAGAGCCCGTGAACGCCAGACCTTCGTCATTTTATGTATAAAGGCTGAAAGTTTGTCAGCGCAGGCTCCCAACATAGATAAGAACAATGGACTATTATGAAGTTCAGGCTACGGTGGCTTTGGCAGGTACACGGTACTAAAGGTGTGTAAAACACCGATCTAAATTTGTCAAATAATAAAGTGTGATTTTTTGGTATTACCTTCAGAATATTATTAAAAATCACGTCATTCAATGCCAGACACTTAACATCGTGGCAAACCCTTGCCAGACAGCCTTTTCATGAAATCATAATTCTACTTACGTTATAGTATAAAAGCTGATTTTTATATATAATACTTGGGTAATAATTAGATGATTTATAAGACTGCTATACTATACTGCTATACTGATAGCATTTATTAGACACCTTGAAAAATGTTCCAAACAAGTTGGGAGGCATTTCTAAGAAAATGTTGCAAATGGTCACCAAATTTGAAGCGCTAAGAATTGACTTTATTTTTGATACGTTCACAACGGAGTATTTTAAGTGGGTTATTAGGGTTCCGTACCCAAAGGGTAAAACGGGACCCTATTACTAAGACTCCGCTGTCCGTCCGTCTGTCTGTCCGTCTGTCACCAGGCTCTATCTCATGAACCGTGATAGTCAGACAATTGAAATTTTTAGAGACGAATTATTTCCGTTGCCGCCATAACAACAAATACAAAAAAAAACAGAATAAAATAAATTGTTAAGGGGGCTACTACACAAGAAACGTGTTTTTATGCCGTTTTTATAGATAATGTTACGGAACCCTTCCTGCGCGTGTCCGACTCGCACTTGGCCGGTTTTTATTTTTTTTTTTAAATTGAGAATTCATTTTATATATTGTTTTATACATTTTTAATTAATTAATGTATTATTAAAGCGTTCCACTTTTCAAGAAATGGTGTCACCTGAAAAAGTTGAGGTTTCTAAAATACTTTTATCGAAAATTATCTTGCAGAATATATATTTCGTAGTTTTTGAGATATGAACAAATTTTAGTTACCCGCTTTGTCAGTTTAAGAACCATAAACTTTTTTTCCATAAAATGTTAAAAAGGTATATGAAACGAACTTATTTTACGATCGATACAATGAGTATATTGTTGATATGTCAATATTATTCGTATATCTTTTATTGATAACTCAGCAAAATACGCAGGAGTAAGTAAAAAACGCAGTATTTTGCTAAATGAAACCTTGCGCGAGTTGGATATACATACCAAATTTCATCAAAATTCCTCCAGTAGTTTTTGTGTGATGCGGTAACAGACAGACAGAGAAAAATTCTAAAAACTATAGATTCGGCCTCTGTACCGATAATAATGTTATTTCAATAAGATTTTCAAAAAATATTTAATGTACAGACTTGACTCAGAATTTTATTATATGTATAAGATATATTTATAGTACTAAACTTATACTTAGTTCGATATTTTTGAACAATAGATATTTCTTAATCGTGTTTAATTTATACTATTATATTTTAAGAATAAATACGTCGCTATAATATATTAAAAGTAAAAAAAAAAAACAACTGTGGTACGATGCAATTTTCTTTACCACTTTCATCTTAGCATAAACATTTAATATTCTTTGCTTCACAAATTCAAGCTATTTTCGAACAATAGTACGAGCCATAAATTGCAGAAAATTGCATTAAATATCCTTTCGAATAGTAGCGATATATTGCTTGAAAAGAAAATTACAGTGCATGTCAAAGATAAACCAGGACTAAAAGAGCTTAAATATTCAGTTGAAGTCGTAGTAGCCGCTATTTCTACAATAGGGGATCATAGGTTATGTAAATGTCTTAGTACTTTAGCCTGTAATGATGATACCGACTCAGGACATGTTGCTAAGTATTTAAAAAGTTAGGTTTATATTTGTTTAGTATACGATGATTCGCTTGAAATAAAATTAAATAAAAATGCCTATTGAAGCAATTTACATTTTACGTTTTATATTTTAACTTTAAATTAAGTCAATGAAAAAGAAAAGCTCCACACCACCTCAGGGTTAAAGTTGAAGCTTAACACTGTTTGTCAAGGCAATGCATTAAACTTTCATTAATCTTTGTAGGCGTGGCAAATGAAATGCTTACCGTCCATCTGTAAGCCATGAGGTAGGTATACAATTAATCAAATTGAATTTCTTATGCGCTAATGGCCAATATAGGCCGTTATAGTTGCTGGTCTTACCAAATAAATAAAGAAAGTTGCATGCAATACCGTAAATATGTTGTAAACGTTCTAATATTAACCTTAGAAATAAAAAAATAATTGTTATTTGTAGTTTGAAGCGCCCTGAAGTAATGTGTAATATGCATGAATAAAAAGAACTTCGAATTAAAATTAATATATCTTTATATACTCGGCAATATTAAAATCTAAAGAAATATAATTCAAATAAAATTGTAGAGTCTTGAATTTTACATAGAACATTTGTTTTTTTTTTAATTATACGTTGTTATTATTATTATTATATTAAAATTAACAAACTTTGTATCCAAATATTTTGAATCAAGATACTCTGGTCTAGTAATCTGATTTAAATGACAAGTAACTTTAAAAAAATGTAAAACAATATATGAAAATAAAATTATTCTCTATTTCTGGTAAGAGCTCGAAAAATTGAAACAGTTATATGTTAACAAAATAGTCAGAAACTGCGTAAGTTAGACAACATTCGAAATGTGTAAGAAAATCAATAAATATATAAAAATTTCAATCTTTAAAACTTCGATTTTAGACATTTGTAGACTTTATCGAAACTTTTAGAAATTCGCATGCAAAAAAAAAATTCTTTAAGCGAGCTGAGGTTTCTCTTTACAGAGTCGTATACTGGAAGATGCCTCGTTGATGTGCAACTCGTGGTCACCAAGACACAATGTAAGTCCGTATGCATGAACAAATAATACATACTTTAGAACTTTTTATAATACTTATTCCTTATAATTTAAGCCTTGCGAATGTAGCTCGCGTATATCTTTGGCCAAAGATATTTTTTATTACGTTCGTATTAAGCTGTAACTTTTATGTGCAACGCGATTTATTTCGCTATTAGTTATTAGTTTTTTGATGTATAGCATGTTTTTAAGTTTGCTCAAATATTTATTACCTACCTTTAGATAATGAGATATTCAGGAATGCTTAGACTTATTACATTTTTTTAATTTAATTAGTATAATAATTTATATTAATGCAAAAAAAACAATATTTAAAACTTAAATAAGATTAAATAAATAAAATCAGTTAAATACATAAAAAATTGCATTTACGTTACATTTTTACTCATGTTCTATAATTAAGTACATGATTACTTATTTCAATGACAGGTCTATCATATTTTTATTACAAAACAAAGCAAATCCAATAGTACCAGACGGTTTAAATTAATAGTTAATCATCAAATATATTTATGAAATATTGAATGCAATGTCCATTTTATATCGTATATCAACCAGTACCTATCGAAAAAAAAACTTGAATGCCAAGCTGACATTTCACTTAATCGTAAAAACGATGACCGTAAAACGAGCTAATTAATACTCAACTCGCCAATATCGTGATATGTCAGTACACAGTCATTTCGGAACTGATTCCAAAACCGAGAAGATAATTATTTTAACTCTATTAATAAAAAGTAATGACTGTATAATAAAGTTTAAAAAAATATATGTTTTTAATTTCATTAAATCACTTTATAAGTAGAACGTGTCTACAAAAGAAGGATATCTTGTTCTATGAAATTGTTACTTCAGTTTTATTTGTACCAGTAAATAAAGATAAAGCTTTCACTCGCGCCTGAAATAAACTCTTTACTTTGAAGAACCTGATAAATAATTAAATATTTTAATTCAATTACTAACACGCTCCACATGCATACCTTACCGTGCATTCTATAGTAATCGCAAAGGCCCCCAGCCGCTTTTAGTTCTCTATGACACTTGATACCCACATTACGCGCACAGATGTATCTGGGGATCATACGATGTCGCCAGTTAAACCTAAAATGAGAACGTTGATGAGCAATAATAGTAATGGATTATTTCAGTGCTTTAGAGATTGGTATGTACCTTTGTTCCGGTTTATCTCTGCCCTATACAGCCTGAGTGCTGAATTCTGCAGTCACTACTGTTGCGTACACCGATTTAATGGCCCGCACAATTACTTACTATGGTACATATTATTCCTTTGTTTAGTGCTCATCCGTGTATATTGTATACAAATACCTGGTGTAGGTAGGTAACCTATACCAATATTTATATAAGCGCTGTTGCCTATTTCTCTATTACATAGTGATTTTGTTAATAAAATCAATGAAATAAATGATTATGATTAGAAATTTAATTCAATTTAACAAATCAAATAGTTCTTTCAATAATATGACATTAACATTTCAAACGTGAAATTCAATTTATATTTCCATGCAATGTATAATTCAACAAGTTTGCAATAATAAAATACATTTTGAATGTGTATATAAATAATATTTTTGTTACAAATAATCCGGTTTATTGTTAGACAACTCCGCTCATCTCCCTAAGCACTTCAGAACAAATTATTACATATTTCACATAGAAGCGGGGTCAATTTGTTTAGCAATTACAATTAGACGGGGGCTGAATGTGGAATCACTTCTGTAACTCGATGCTAATGATTCGTGAAGGGCGCAGGGACAAACTTTTGTTCCCACGCTCGATTGTTTCATTTTTTATTACGAATTAAGACGATGAATTTTAAGTGTCTTTGAAAATGTTTTGTTCGAAAATGTGTTGTTGTTGCACTTTTTCTTAGATCGACTGCCTTAATAATGATCATCTATAATTCCTCTCATAATTCCGAGGCGGAAAAATTGCAACTTTAAACGAATTAAAAAAATAGTGGAGGTGTAAACTTATATTATAAATAGCTACAAATTTTGAGAGCTTTATCTACGCTAGGACATAGAGATATTTTCACGCAAAACTAAAAGAGTGAATGCAAAAAGAAACATAAAATTGTGTATTTATAATACATCATTTCTGGAATATATCGGGACGCGAGTACTTGTAAATAAGATTTTTTTAAAGAAAAATTAGTATTTTTTTAATATTATTTCTAAATTATGTTAATTATATAATTTAACCCTTGATATAAAACGAACTAAAGTCTTACAATAATGTTGATAATACAAACTAAAATCTCTACGTCATCTACTAACCTAATAAGACTTCAAGAAAAGCATTACAGTACGGCACATAAATTGATTATCTTACTAGCTTTATTTACGTTCATTCATCTTTTTTCCGAGCTCTTCGTGTTCAGTAAGATTTTACTTCATCATACAAATTTTTTTTGCACTTATTCAAAGTAAACCACCCATTTTATACAACGGTAATACAATCACTAGTTTCAACTGTTTAAAATTGTAAAGGGAAGTCTACCTGAAAAAAGTCAATATAAATTCGAGAAGTCAGATGCGAGCCTCGTCTTTAAAACGGGACACGGATATAAAACCTGCAAACATGTACTCCGCTGGTAAATCGAAAAGAGAAACTATCACTTTAAAAGTGCTCCCTGGTTCCATAAACTGCCTATTTGAAAATCGGTACGCGCACGAAGCATCTGTCGGGAAACCGAAAAGAAGGCGTGGAACCGAGTAACGAGTTACCAAGTAGCACGAGGTCAGAGTCACTCATAAATAATTTAAAGTAATCCGGGAAAAACCCCTGTCCACGGGCCGTCGGTTGAGCCGCCATTACTATTTGATGTGGCCAACGTATTACGTCTCGCGAATTAGAGTTGCCCTTTTGAACTTCGAGTGGCTGTTTTAGTGTGCGCTTTGTATTAATTCTGCTTAATCTCGATTTTAATTCTTGAAAAAATATTGCTGTTGTTGGAAAATAGCTAATAAAGCATGAATAAGATTGCATGTTAGCGCATAAGCCTCTTTGTTATATATTATGTACTTTTGTGATTATGGTAAATAAAGTAGTATTGCAGCTGTAAAAGTAAAATGAAATGTTAAGCTCACAGTAAATTGTAAATGAACAACACTAAATCTTTTTGTTCTATTCTTATACAAATATAGACGGATTACGTACCCGTAAAGCGAGAGAGTAAGGTCAAATATACCCACTGTAAAGTTAGTTTGTAAGTATGAATTTCGAAATGCTTTTAAAAGTATTTGTACACGTTTAAAATATCAATTTGTACTGGTTTATTATTTAAAGGACCTTAAAGGTAGTTGCATATCCGCTTATTAATAGATAACTGATTTGTTATTCTATGAAGTTTAATTTCTATTGATTAACATCTCAGAAATTATATAATCATACAAGGGCGGAGTTTCACTGAACGCCATGTCTCTTCAAGAATCGTACAATTTTATACTATCTTAAAATTTAATCTATAGAAACAAGTTTTGTTATAATAATATTATCTAATTATAACTATATAGATAAAAATATATGTACATAATATTATTTCTTTTGCACCACGTATTTTATACAGTCCCAAACTCGCTTTTTATACCTACGAAGGTCTACTGAGTCAACTCTATGTGTCGGAAATAAAATAAAGCTATTTTTTGCTTTTTAAGTATTTTTTATGAGGCAGTGGTAGGCCAATGGTAACGCGTTCGCTTGGGATACCGAGTGAAGCGGGTTCAAATCCCGGGTCCGCACCTTTCATATTTGCATGTGCGATTACCACTTGAGGAAACCTGCATGTCTGAGAGCCTTGCAAGTATTAGAAAGACATGTGAAGTCCACCAACCCGCACTTGGCCAGCGTGGTGGACAATGGCTTGATCCCCCTCGTATTGAAGGGAGGTCCGTGCTCAGCAGTGGGACGTTAAAATAGCTGAATACTAAGTATTTCTAAGTGGTATTTTTTAAATTTTATTATCAAACGTTTGTTGTTTAATTATAAAAACTTAAAATGGACAATGTTGTTTTACCACTTACTTTAATCGTAAAATAATTTACAATGTTATTACCAGGGTGACCTATTCAGCGGGCTTAACGACGGGTTGCTGAGTAGGGCAGAGGCTCTGGCGGCGGTGGACATTGGCAAACATCAGTCGGGCCCACAGCCAGGGCCTCCTTTACCACAGCTCAAACATGACATGGTCTACCATCACGGGGTCGGAGGACCACCCCCACATAACGCCAGGCCTCATCAGGTACAATCGTGGTCTTCTTGAAAATAACTTATAAAGCAAGATTGCGAAATATTAAACCAACTCATTGGTTGGATTGTATTGATATCTCGCAAGATATTTAATTTTAAAATTACTTAACTTAGTGCCATATTCTAGCTCTTTTCTTTACTGCCGCAATGGGCTTCTTCAAGAAGAATGTGTGACGTTGTCTTTTAAAGATATAAGAATTTTATTAAAATTGCTTTATTTTACCTAATTCTAGTTCAGTTATCGGATCAGATCCATTTTTTCAAACAAATATGAAACAAAAAAAATAATAAAAAAATGTAATACAGATACAAAAAGTTTTCTGTCAGACTAAAGTTAAACTGTCCAATAATAATCGCAATTTTATTCTATATGGAGCAGTTTATACGATCTTAAAATCTAATCTTAAAAAATAATTTTACTATGTATAACAATATTACCTACCTAGTTATAACTACAACAAAAATATATAATATTGATTTAAAACAATACAATTCATTATACAAAATAAAGTTCATCAAACTACATATTCTAATAATGTTCAAAAAAAATGTTCCAAAAGGTTCAACATGTTGTAAATTTTTTTATCATTGGTAGATTTATTGACATTTGATGCTATTTTATTGAAATATCTTACTCATACTTTATGTATATTATTTAATATAAAGCATTCGAGAAGCCTAATCTTAATATAGAAGACGAAGGGAAAGGGTCTATACCAATCATTGAATTGAATTCAGAAACGATAAAACTAAAGCGCACTCGTAAAATTGTTGGCAAATTGGTACACTCTGCGCCTTCGCTTTGACATAAATAATAATAATAAAAGTAAATGCATTTCTCTATGCTCATACACCTTGGAAAATCTTTTAGTCTTCCTATGTCAGTAAACGAGCGAGGGTTATCTCCTCTGGGACAAGATTGGCGTGGGGTACGCAGGGGGCTGTAATGTGTAAGAAATATACTCGCTCCGCTATAAAAATGAGGTAATTTTATGCACTGTTCGATGTAATGCTGTCGATTGTATTTTACCCCTACCTTTTATTCACTAGTGGATGTGTGTGTATAAAATACATACATAACATTGATGTATTTTTCAGCAATGATTAACTTATTATTAACTTTATTACATACTGATACTGCTATAAATTTAGGGTGTCTGTAACAAAAAAATATAAGTGAGTTTCCACTCGCTGTTGGTTTTTACTATTTTATTTAAAATAACATCGCATTATATGTCAAAAAAGAACATCACTAATACAAGGAAGGGATGTGTTACACCATTTTCCCCTTAACTATTTCTTAGGCCGCGTAAGTCGTACTTTATAGCCCACGGAACCCGAGGTTAGTAGTTTGGGGTCCCATATTCGGCTGTAATCAGCGGAAACGTTTGTAGAAGTTTGAATAGTTTTGTTTTTGCTTGTTGTGTTGTTTTTGCTAAAGTTGCAAAAATCAAAAAAAAATTATTGTAAGCTTACATTTATTATTTATTTAAAATGCATCACTTTGAAAACTACTATTAAAACTAACATTTATGTAATCATTAAGCAATTGCTTATTCGGTATAATGTCATAAAATTACGTTAATTTATGTTATAAATTAATATTAATAAAATATTATATTGCACTAAAAAATCTTTCCTTACAATAAAAAGGGATAAGTTGGTAACTTAAAATAACTTGTTAGTTGTTTGTAACATAGGTACATCACTATTTTATTTTGTATTCTTATTTTACCAAAATTTACGCCTATAATATGAATATGTAAACAGGTATATAAAATTATTAATAACTTCGTTTACCCAGCTTTTAAATGGTAGGTAAAATTTAAACAAATACTGTAAACTACTGGAAGGGGAAAAACATGTTCACTCGAGGGAATACAGGACATATGAGCATTTTTACTGCTGCCACCAATTGTCACTGCGGCCACTGGGGACGAGACCCGCCGTTGAAACTAATGTATGTACCTATAGAAAGTTGTTTAAAGCTCACGAAAATATGTTATATTTAGTATCGTATCAACATGGAATACGAGTTTTGTATAAAAATATATTTATATTAATTAGTAAAAAAATTATTGCAACTTTTTCTTAATGTAATTTTAACAAAATTAAATTAAAATTAACAAGCATATGCAGTAAATATTTTAACCACTCACGTGAACTGCTTAAATGATTATTATAAATAAATAAATGTAATCCTACATGAAATATTTATTTATTGCAATACATATTTAATAATAACAAAAATCTCCACTATCTCATTTTGTTCATTTGTAAAATATTTGAAAAGAAATTAATTATACATAATAAAGGATTATTTTAATTTGATTACTATAAATGAAATGATGTTAGTCGTAGCGACTAAATCATACGGCAATAAATGTAGCAGTTGAAATGACCATTTCATAACCCCAGTCTCGCACCCCATGTAAATTTGGCCACTTGTTCAAATCATAACGGTGCGATATAAATCACTATTAACAGAGTATAATTTATTTAATATCCACTTGCAGTTGCATCGAGGACGTTCTCTAGTTACTTTAGAAATCAATGGAAAACCCTGTGTAATTAAGGCAACATACAATTTAATTCATTATTTAATCAATTTTAAGTGTTTTGTTGTAGTAACGAACTCTGTTTTGTTGTAGTAACAACTGTTGTACATATCTCTAAGATACATTTTGTAGCCAATTCGAAATCTAAATCGTCCTAGAACTAGAAATTACTGCTGCTGACATTTTCCAATTGCTTTGAATATGAGAGGCTCTCTTGTAATGAGGTCTATTTGAATATCAAATGATAGCATTTATGGATATTAAGTGCCTTCTATTTTTGACGCAATACCTTTTGATATTAGTACAAGTTGTGGCGTGTTTGTTCACGCTTAGTGCATATTTCATTGTTCCGTGCAAGCGAGTAAATGTCTTGCGTTTTACCTTTCGTGATGGATTATTATTTGAAGACCAATGGGCAGAATTTCATTGATTATTTTATTGTTAGTCAACAAATGTCTAATATTTCTATAAATTTTCGTTGTTGTAGCCTTGCAATTTTTTGTATGAGCTTACCAATATAATATAGTAAACAAAAAAAAATTGTTACTTAATAAAGGGGCTGCTTTTATATCTCATGTGATGTTAAAATTGTACTGCAGATGACAATTTTGGGAACAAACAATATTATAGTGTATCGCATGTAACATTACGTGCTACACGCGTGCTAGTGCCGGATAATTGTGATCTACTGGTCCCCCGGGAGACTCAGCCAAGACCCACTGCACCTACCGCACCACCCCCGACGTTCCATGGAAAAATTGTTAACGAAAGACTTACGACTCGATCTTACACTGAGATAAATTACCTTGTGAAGATGCTTGCCAATTCGTCAGGGTCGGCCTTGTTTATTTTATTTCCTCATTATGTTTTCATGATCTTAAAATAGAAAGTTTCATAGAATATTTATTAATTAAGTTTTATTAATTAAATTATATTGACATCTTAATTTATTAGCATGATTATATTAATTTGTAAGCATAAATATATATAAGCTAAGAGATGACTATTATAATTATTTTACAATAGATAAATCTCAAGTATATTTTAAACATCCACATATGGACTGTACACTGTAAACATTCATTTTCGTTACAAAGCCGGTCAACAACATAAGCATATTGGTAAAACACTTGTAACCAATCAACGTCACAACAGACTCACCCTCCGATGAAAAAACAAGTGTTTGCACTCATAAAGAATGAGTGCAAATCTGCACAAAGATGATTGTTTATGTTTCCATATCGTCCCCGAGTACAGCTATTGTTACCACCCCCCTCTTTATTTACAATAAAACGTCTGATTTAGCATGAATACAGAAGTTAATTCGGCGGACGACTATAAAGATCACGCCACCCCAAATATATTATAATCCTCTTAATCGGAGAGAATTTGACAGTATGATAAAAACGAATTACAAAAGCCATTCTTTCCGCAGATGGGCCACCATGGTATGGAGGGGCTCGACATGCTCGATCCACTCACATCTTCATCTATGACCACCTTAGCGCCGATGGGGGAAGCGGCCCCGCCACACCACCAGCTGCACGGGTACGGTGCTATGAACCACGTTATGAACCACCACCATCACGCCGGAGGGCTCGCACACGCGCCGCCCGCACATCTCGGTCACCCTGCCGCTGCTTTACATCCGGATACAGACACCGATCCTCGAGAGCTAGAGGCTTTTGCAGAACGTTTTAAGCAAAGAAGAATAAAACTTGGCGTTACACAAGCAGATGTAGGCAAGGCGTTAGCAAATTTAAAACTACCAGGAGTTGGAGCTCTCTCTCAAAGCACAATATGTAGATTTGAAAGTTTGACCCTAAGCCACAATAACATGATAGCTTTAAAACCTATATTACAGGCTTGGCTAGAAGAAGCGGAAGCCCAAGCAAAAAATAAAAGGCGAGATCCTGACGCACCAAGCGTTCTACCAGCAGGTGAAAAAAAGAGAAAGAGAACTTCCATAGCAGCACCGGAAAAAAGAAGCCTTGAAGCGTATTTTGCTGTACAACCTCGTCCCTCTGGCGAAAAAATAGCAGCTATTGCGGAGAAATTAGATCTAAAAAAGAACGTGGTTCGGGTCTGGTTTTGTAATCAAAGACAAAAACAAAAGCGCATGAAATTTGCTGCGCAACACTGACCGGCGGGTGGCGGCGCGGCTCTTCTGTACCCAGGAGCTGGGTACGGCTACTGAGTCGCCGGCCGCAAGACACGGCCACGGCCTGGGCTATAAAGGCCATAACACCGACATCGGCGCTCTACCGCCAAAGATGACATTTCGTGAGCAATAATATGATCTCATTCATAACGCATCCACAATTTTATATATCAGTTTTATTTAAAATCGAACGCAACGTAGTCACTAGTGTAAGGATCGTGGTCTAATTTTAATTTCGGGAATGATTAACATCATGTGTATATTTTTCGAGACACAGGGTATATACTTGATTATATACATATCATTAAATTAATACAAGTCGCTTTGTCATACATTGTTTATTATGTTCTAACGCGCCGAGTTTTGATGTTTTTGGAACATCGAATTGTACATGAAAAAAAGAAAATCAGGATTTTTAAGAAAATGTGCCTTGCAAATAATCAATATTCTGTGTTTAATGTTAGTAACTTCATCGCTGTGTTGCGGGTTCGAATTGGACATTTAAAATAAAAGATGTCCTATCGAAGCACCATACATCGAAAAACATATGATAAATTAATTAATTAATTATTATTATGGTACTTTAAGCTGTCTTTAGATTAGGCGAGTAGAAGAAAAGTTTTTGTAAAATAGAAAATTATGTGTTATTTTATTTTCGATCTATTTATTTATTGTATCGGTATTTATAACCTACTCCTTAATCTATATACAGTCTATTACTAAGATATTGATTTAATATTTTGTTATGCATTTTGTTCCTGTACTAATAATATAACTTGTACAAAGTAATTTTAAGAGTGCCCCTTTTATAACTAAAATGTAGATAGTAGTTTATTCAATTTTCTGTTATTTATATTATATATTTAAGTACGTCATTTTTGTTATTTTGAACAAATTGATTTAACACAATCCATTGGAATTTTCACAAACACGGCACAATTTTTAGATTAAGAAGTTATTAGAGACATTTAGCCAAAATAGTCTTAACATCCTTGTAAATAAAACACATTTCGATTTATATTTAGGCATTAGGAAACCATAGTTACTAAATTGAATGGAATTAGTACAACGCTGATGAATTCTAATTTTAACGACTATCATTATTAGGAGTATAATCATTTAATGCAAACATTATTATATATACAAACTTTTTATTTCATTTGATAATACATTATAACTTGTGATTTTTTTATTCGTTAGTTTTGTTCCGCACTGAATACCTAGTTATTGTAGAAACAATTTGCAAAATAATAAAACTGCAATGCTTAGTATAAAAAGAAAACTTGCGAATTATAAATAATATTTTTAAATGAAATTTTGTAAATATAGCTCTTATGATAAGTGAAAGAATGTGCAATCTAGAAGTTGGTAATTAATATTATATCTTAAATTGATTCATAGGAATTTATTGAGTTTTACACTTAATAACATGTAGTGTTGAAAGCTTTAGTCTCGCGATCTAGTCATGGCTTTACTATATTGTGTTGTATGTATTTTTATAAGTTTGTCAATGATTGTACAAAATAAAAATCTTTATATTAAATCATATTTCAATGGTTTTGCACTTAATTGTAGAGCGTACTTATTGCCTTTCATAAAAGTAATGGGACAGTTAAAAGAGGTAATGTTTAACGTTTATAATCATATACAACCCCAATTTTTTTATTTTGCAAGAACATAAATTAAAAATAGTAGATCGAACAGAAGAATAACAAGTTATGGTTATTTGTTGGTTAAACCTTAAAAAATCTAATGCTCTTCATTCACACAGAGTTATTTAGTTAAATTCTAAATTTATTTTTTATACAAATTAGTACAATTTTCGATATACATATTTATTTAAATCGATAACATTTACTTGGCCAAACAATAAATTTAACTTTAAAATTAAAATATTTTCTTTTAGGTATCTCAAGCTTAAATCACAAAAATTAAGTAAACAAGGAGATATCATTTTTTTTAATTTATTTCATACCAATAACTCAAATTATCTCGCGTCGACATTTATATCATGGGGGCCAATAAATTAACAAATAATATACTAGCGGTACTTCAAGGCAAAAGCATGCTCCTTGATGACCAGACAAGGGAGCTTACACAAGATATCATTCTACAATGTTGAAGGATAGATGTTTGTGAAATTGTATTGAACTGACAAATTTAATCGGTTTATCATATAATTATAATTATGTCAGTCCCATGTATTTTTATTCTTCAACGATTGTAGAATAACATCTTATTTATGCCCCAAGTATCGATAATAGTTATATTTGGGAAAATTACTAATTATATTAATAAGTTTTCAGCTGAGCTTGCTACTGATGCAAATGAAGTTTTGTAATAAGTTTTTATGTGTATACAATTTCTACGATAACATGACCTGTCATTAATAAAACCTAACAAAAAGAAGAAAGGAAGTCATTGCTATGTTAACATTAAATATAAACAAATACCACGTGATATGACTATTTAGCTAATCAATAATAGTATCGACTAGACCAGGACACTTCCTGCCATCTTTTACATAAAAATAAACCAGTAAGCAAAAGGTTTAGTGGTGAGAATTAAAAGAGGCTTAGTGATAGTGAGTTATTTTAATATGGGAAATAAAAGGCGTAAAGAGAGAGGTCGGTGCATGTTAGCGTAGAACTGTTATTACTGTGTTTGTATACCATCGAAATTACCAAACATTACTATTAAACACTATTAGTTCTAATTTAAATCTGCGCTAAGTTTAAGTAGACATTAGGAGATTCTCTTGCAATTTATTAATTCTTAATAACATTAATGATAATACTAAAACAGACTCTTACTTGGAAGACGAATAAACAATAAATAAAAATAGAAATATTAGAATAATTTTGTTGTTTTATTAAATCCTCTTTAGCTTTATCCAAACATATATTTTTTCTAAATATATGATAATTGAATTGGTTATAATAAAACTTTTGTATTTTATTTTAAAATAAAACAATCAATGGGTCAGATATATCTGAAACTAAATGTACATATATATGAGGGATATTGTTCAGAACAATAGATTATTTTCGAATCATCTGAATATCTGACTGCTTGTTTTGCTAAAATTATAATAGCTCAAAAATCATTATACGTAACCGAGTCATTTTTAGAGGACTTAAAAATATGTCGATAAATCGTCGATAAAAAGATATGTGAATGCACTTAGTATACTATACTTCCATACCTACTTAATATTGTAAATGTGAAAGTGTGTTTGTTTGTTTGTTCTCCTTCTTTCACGTCAAAACAGAGTGACAGATTGGCGTGATTTACCACTATTAATTAGATAAAGGAAAGGAAATAGTTTTTAATGAATGGTTTAATGGCTAAAACCTATCAATTAATAAATGATAATGTGTAATTTATATGATTTATTATAAAATAACGGTTATTTGACAGATTGAACTTGTCTGGTAATGATACATGTAGATTAATTCAATATACATTGTTTTAAGCGTAAAATATTTTTTTATAATAATATAATTATAAAAATTGAGGCAGTGGTAGCCCAGTGGTAACGCGCTCGCTTGGGAAACCGAGTGAAGCGAGTTCAAATCCCGGGTCTCGCACCTCTGATATTTTCATATGCTAATCATTTACAACATGATTACTACTTGTCTTCCTAAACATCGTGAGGAAACCTACATGTCTAAGAGAACCTAGCAAGTTTTCAAAAGATATGTAAAGTCCGCCAATCTGCACTTGGCCAGCTTGGTGGACTATGGCCTGATTTCCCTCGTACTGAAGGGAGGCACGTGCCCAGCAGTGAGATGTTAAAAAAGGGCTGAATACAATACATAAGGCTTAATTAAAAATGATCGTTTGTAAAGCGCTTGTGCTTAAAGTTATAAAAGTTATAATTGGCGCGACCTCCAACTGAGCTGACTAAGCAAAGGTTGCACAAATATTCGTCTATGTACAATGTTCATGCAGTAACGATGTTTTTCTTTATTTATATGAAGTACTAGCGACTCATCCTCGCTTTGCTTCGGGTTCATCCCTAGACAAAAACAAATCTATCTCACGGGAACCGTACATTTTTCCGGGATTAAAAGTATGTATCTATCTATATACTATTCTAGACTATAATCTATCTCTGTGCCAAATTTCATTCAAATCCGTTGAGCCGTTCTGGCGTGAAAGAGTAACAAATATCCATTTATTCATCGTCACAATGAAAGTTTGTTTACATCTCATTTATACGAGTAATATTAGTATGGATGAAATATATCTTCATGTCGTTATGACTGATGTACTTTTTAAATTACTGAATAACTTACAGCCAGTGTAGAACTTCAATTGGTAAATTTAGAATTCTTAAGCCTGCTGGAATCATCTCGTAAATGCTCTAGCACTGTAAAAAGTTTTTTTTTTAAATTTCATATCTAAATTAGTAGTTGACTTCATACGGAAATAGCTGTTTGTATTTATACTCTTCCACAGAAGCAATTTTTTCCTGAAATCATATGGTCTCCCGAATCTAATTAATCATGTATTTAAATTACTAACTTTTGCCGCAGACTACGGTCATGTAACTTATATTTATACTAATATTTTACCTTCGCTACGCTGGAGTGCCTTCCTAAGTTCCTATGTTCTATTCCCGTTCATAGTATGTCTGTCTGTGTAGTGTGTACTAAATTTCATCCCAATCCGTGCAGCCGTTTCAGTCACACATGCGTAAATTTTAAGTAGCTTATAACATTTCTCAATAAATTGGCTATATTCTTAGGAGGGTTACGATAGGCTACAAATATATAGGCAAAACATAATTTATGCCATCGAACTACATACATATTGTCGTGTAGTGGAGAGTGTGTAGCGTCATTACACCAAAAATAATAATTAAAAAAAGCACGTCTTATGCATGCTTTATTCGAAAACTGTAGAAAAATTCGAGAATTTCGAAAAAGGTGAAGCTCACAATCTAGTTGTTTGTTGTATATTATAAGTTGCTT